ATAATCAAATTAATGTACTATAAATTATTGTAATATTCTAATTACTTTGGAATTAATTAATTGAATATCGTATTTCATTTTATCTAATATTGCCTAGCGTGGTGAAGGCTATGTTCACTATATAGTTGAAACCAGCTCAATAGCATTTCTTGCAATCGTTGCTGATATTTACCAATGCATAAATACTAATAAATTATCCATCATATCTATATAACAATATACCAATATATTTTTCTCATTAACACAAGAGTGTGTGTGTGTCTCACGCGAGCGTTTTATATGGAAAGAATAACGAAATTCTCAGAAACGCGGGAAAAGGTTATAGAGCTAACTATCCATTCTTTACATCGAGAACTTACATGCAATGTGGTCATGCGGAATGTAAACACATCCGATCAACGTGGTGCGCGTTGTGAGGTGGCGCTTGCAGTGGTCTCAGTCTATCCCATATCAAACACCGAGTCCAATGTATATTAGAGCAGGTCCGCGCCTAGCGCTCTGCGAACATGCGCGTTACGGTATATTATATGATATGCCACACCAGTTGTGCAAATAGATTTTCTCATTGACAACCTTGGTGAGAACAAATTCGGAGACGCGCACAATGTTTGCTATACAAAGGCAGTAATAGCATGTCACACGAACGTACTCTGAATCAGCTAAAATACTCGTAATTCTATTCTGTAAGTTATTGATCGATCAGATGGACGTTCCCTGTTATGATCATGCGCGTAACAGTCAAGCCAATCTCACTACGCATTTTTTTTCATTAAACCTTCTTCATTGTTTGTCTTCTACCTGACTCGCCCAGCCGTCGAAATCTAATTATCCTTCGCGTATTTGATTCTTCTCACACGAAGCCATGGAAGCTGTGATATTTGTGTTTGCTAACCGGGCGGCTAATCATCTATGTCGCTGTCTCGTTATGTTCTTATGTTACAGTAATATAAGCGCTAAACGTACGCCTAATTAGGTTTGTTATAGACGTAGCCTACAGTCAGTGTTGCTGCGTTCTGAAAACTCGTTGGAGCTAGTCTCATTGCTTCTGCTGTTAGTCTGTCTACGTTCAGCGCGACAATGTATAGCGTTGGAATATTAAATTGAAATAACGAGATTATATTATGTAATGACAAGGCACTCACGATAATAACTTTTGTGCAAATTGGAAAAATCTCAACGTTTCTTACTTATACCGCGATTTTAGAATGCACGGGTGACCAAAATAGACACCAGTCACACCACCAAACAAAGCTAAACAGCTACATACAGAATTCCCGAATTCAACTGGCATAATTTAAAACTATTAAATGTGTATCGCATAATTGTAAGCTTATTCTCATGGACCAACCTGTGGTATAACTCATCATCTTACAGTCACAAACAGTGGGCTAGGAGCCGTTCTCACATACCGAAATTATCACTAGCATTACAGTGGCGGATCTAGAAGGGGGTTGGGGGGTCGCAACCCCCCCCCCCCGTTCAGCCACTGACTAATGTGGGCCAAACTAGTAAAATGGGGCCAAAAATAAAAAAAGTCAGTCTGAAAGCTGATAGAAACTGGGGATTCCCCGCCTTCACTCAAATATCAACCTCCCCACCCGTCTCCTGAAAGTTAGACCCGCCCTTGCATTAATTGAATTTTTTTTATCAAGCGTACTGCGGTCGTTGGCCGCCATTTCGAGCGCTTGTATACCTGCGATAATACCGATAATTGTAAAACGGCCCCTCATAGAAAATCCTCAATATGCCGATAGGAAATGTCATGCCATTAGCCGTTGACACCGGAATTTGCTCATTTCCTTAAAACGTTAGTCATGTGTTAAATGCTCACAATGTGTCAGTCATGTTAAAACGTGATAGGACGAAAACCTAACAAGATCTATGTAAGATGGTCAGCGAAAATCGAGATGCAACTACATAATAAAATATGAATAGCATGTTCAACGGATGTGCGGATCGTAGAGGCAGGATGTACGGAGAGTGAAAGGCAATAATGAGAGAATCGAGAGGGATAGAGAGAGGTGAAGAGAGAGACAGAAAGACAGACAGACAGACAGACAGACAAACAGACAGACAGAAAGAGAGAGAACGAGAGTGAGAGAGAGA